TGTGTGTGTGTGTGTGTGTGTGTGTGTGTGTGTGTGTGTGTGTGTGTAGGTGTAAGTGTGCTTAATGAACATAAAGTCAAATGTATGCTTAGCAGGTCATTGCATTATTATAAAAAGTTTATTTTAAATTCTTGCTAGGATCACCAGACTGACAAATAATAAAAGATAGACAGTTTGCTTGTACGTTTGATCGATTTCATGGTCACAAAATGTTTGTTACAATGGCTAAATCATTAATGTAAGTGTTTTCCTAGCGGGTATACTGTAGCTATAACTTAGCTCACATATGCTTTATTTACTTGTTTTGTGTTTACTTTTAAGTCGATTCTTATATATATTTATATATATATAATTCCGCTTCATGTGTCTAAGGATGTCCTTTATGGGTAAAATCCGTTTAGAATTTTAAGCTGATTACCTATGTCCTAAGCATATGAAGGACCCATAAGTACAAAGATACATGTCATTGAATTGAACTCCATTCTCTATAAGGTTAAGCAAATTGAATGCAATTCTTTTCTTTTTTTTCATAGGTCAAAGCAAAAGACAAAGAATAAAACACTTAGAGTACATAGCTGAGGAAATTTTGAAAAAAAGTTCGCTTTCTATTTCCTTCAATTACAAATTGCTCCTCGTCTTCATCCATTCGTTCGTTTTAAATGTTTTGTTACCTTTAATATTCTCTTTTTTTTGATTATTTTCCAAATTGGATAATATCGTCATTAATCAAAGGCATCGCATTTAGCTCTTAGATGAAATTGTTTACAACAAAATGGTTTTGTTAAAAGAAGTATCCTATGCGATATGTCTTTTGCGGAAGTCATTCATTTACTGTAAGGTGAGTTTGTTAGCAAAATTTCTTAACAATTTAAATCAATTATTTTTGTCATCAACTTCCTTGTCATCATTAGTATTATCAGGGTTATTGCAATTGAGGCAACGTGTGTGGTAATCAGCGTGTTGTAGAATTTATATTTTCTTAATTTCCTGTGGGAAACGTATTTTGACATTTCAATTATATTGAATTTTCAACATTTCTTATTGTTCAATTTACGCAGTTACATATGCAGATACAAATGCAGATAGATATAAAGATGCATGTATTGCATATATATATATATATATATGTTTTGTATGTATATGTATGTATGTATATACGAATGTTACCCGTACGCATATCAGTTTTATATGTGAAAAGACAAATGAACGAAAAAATAATCGATCAGTAGTTTCAGTCATAATTTGTGTGGCCAAGCATTGACCTCAAGTAATATAATATTGAGGCCACCCAGCACAAAATGATAAACTGTGGTAATTGAGCAAAAATAATAAAAAAAAAACAAGGGAAGAAAAAAACAGAACAAATTTTTTAATTGTTTTGTAAAACTTACAGATAAATTGGCTTTATTCCCAACAGCTAAGCAAACAATCTTATGCATATACATTTTCCTACGCTATACTAATACAATGCATTGTTCGCCTGGCTAAAACCAGGCAAAAAGTGCAGGCAAACTACTGCAAAATCATGTAGAATTTATTACACGCAAAACAACCTTGACTTAATGACTACCACTACGACTAACTCGTACACGCACATACATATGTACCGGAAAAAACAAAAACAAGAAAAACAAAAAAAAAAACAGTCTAATCCAATTTGAGTTTTACAGAGGTGGAGTGCTCCTACTGCTGCTACCATAAAACTAACACTTGCTCATTTTATATTTTGCTTTTGCTTTTGTTTTTTGTATTATTATTATTATTTATTTTATTTTTTTTTTTTACATCTTCTTTCTTTTTTTTTTCTACATTGGTACCTTAGAGGTTTACTTCCATGAACTACCGGGAAAAATAGCACACAGATTTTCAATATATTGCTGGGGGAAAGAAAAGTTCAATTGAACCTTGAGAGGTTACCGTTTTTTCTCATATTCTCCTATGAGCGCATACAACTACAAGTATGGGTGAATACACATCGGTGTTGTTGTTATTGTTAATGGTTAAAAAGTAGACCATAAACAAATGAAACTAAACTTTTTCTTTAGAGCTTTCACCCGATTGTTTTAATTTCCACTTCAAACGCAATTGACTAATTTCGTTTACACTGCGTATGAGTAAACAAAACATCGAATAATGTATATTTTTACTTTAGATGTAATTTTGTACACTTATCAATCGTATTGTTTTTCGCTTCGAGCATAATACACTATATGTGGAAAAGCTGGAGAAGATCATATCAAATCAATCATATGAGAGAATGACCTTAACAGTTGTGAAGCATGGAAAAGTGAGAAAAGACAAACTTTATCTAAAGTTTTGGCAAATGAAATGTGGTCGACAAAACGAAAATCTTTTATCTCATAAAAAATCAAAAATTCACAGTAAATATATTTAAATAAACAATATTATTTTGCAATTTTGCATACACATGCAAACAACTGACTAAAATAATTAAAAGTCTTTATTGCAGCGACGTCAATTTAAAACAATACAAAACGGATTTGTCCGTTGCTTTGCAGTTTCGTTTCAGCGTTCGTTCCGATCGATCATATATAGGTCTTAACAAATCTATTACAGATTCATTTTTTTTTTTTTTTTTTTTTCAATTTGCTTTACGGTGTGATGGACTGCTATGTCGAACATAATCTCGTCCTCGGTGCTGCAATAATTGTTTTACCAATTTAGAAGGTTCAGCAATTTTTAAACGATCCACATTGTAAATTAGCAAAGGTACAAAATATAAGAATTGCCTTTTGGAAGTTAATTGTTTTTCTTCTTGTGCTACGATTTTAACATTGAGCTTTTCTCTACTAAAATACTCATTAGTTGAATGGGGTCAAATGTTCGCATTCCTTCTTTAAATAATTCCCAAAAAAAGGGATCAGTTACTTTTCGATAATGCATATGTTTTTGTAGTCAAGAGCATATTCGTTTTTAAAAGACATTTCTTCTTTAATGCTTAATTATACCTTTAAAATGCAATGCAATGAAATGCATTAATAAGAAGTTTGTCTTTTCATATCCTAAGCTATATTTTTATTCGCATGTTCGTTATTCTATTAAAAACCAAAAAAAAAAAAAAATACACGTACACATACGGCATAGACACACATACCTATATACGCGAAGACACATGGCCAAGTTACTTATGATAAAAATGTTGCAATAACGTTCTAATGAAGTTTCATATATACACACATATATATACACATAATAGATACTTGTACAATTTTATCATTTTAACGCATTCATCTCGTTATAGTCTAGTTGTGGTGATATGTTTGCTGCCTATAGAATTATATTTATAAGTTTAAATAACGGCCTATGTATATGACAATGTACAGTTAATATGTTGTGTTTCTTTATTTTCATATATCATTCCTCATATCTTTTCGTACATGTATGTACACTTTTTTGTTGCTCATAAAGCATTAAATTATGTTACACAACGACGCTATATAGAAATAAAGAGGAGAAATATTAAAAAAAATAAATTTTCATTGTGACATGCAGAATGAATAATGTTTTATAAATATTCGCAATAACTCGGAATGTGTTTTCGTCATCGCCTGCGTCTGTACAGTTATATGTTAACTTAAAGTAGTAAATCTCTAATCCAAAACTTTACGAGTCTAGTCTCTATAGCACGTATTTAGCGTAATAGAAATCTTCTTCTTTTTTTTTTTTTTTTTTAAGTAATACGCAATTAAAAAATAAATAGAATAGTCACAAAAAAAAATTACTCGCAAAATTTGTTCAATTAAAAAGGCTTTAAAGAATGCACAAAAATATTCGCCAAACTCCATTTGGGATAAATCGATGAAAACAATCATTTCTATAAATTATAATTTAGGACAGCAGCTTCTTGGCAGCTTCTGCAGCGGCCCTCCCGCGGAAAAACACATTAAAACTTTCATCACAACGTTTTTTTTTCTTTTTGTCGGCAAAAACTAAACCTTGTAGAAGGGTCCCTCTTAATTACATTACATCGATTTACAAATACCGTTGCTGAAATATAATCAAAAACATTCGTAATAGGTTTCAAGTTCCATGTTCCATGTTTCTGTACTAGTAATGAGAAAGGTAAAAAACAA